AGATAGGAGAATCGCCATGAGTTTGAGTTTGAATTACATAGTAAGCCCTTGTCTCAAAAACACAAAATCAAGAGTCAGGGATTTAGCTTAGCAGCATAAGTAATTGTCTGGCAAGTTCGAGGTTGTGAGTTTGAGTCCTGGTACCAAAAACAAAACAAAATGAAACAAAAACCAAAATATCAAAACTGAACTTCAAAAAAGGATACTGGGGGGGGGGGGAGATTTTTAAGCAGAAATAAGAATTTTAAGTTGAGCAGCTCAAAAAAAAAAAATCTAAGTAGATGAAAATTCACTATGAAAAAAATTTTAACCAGTGGTCCCTCCAAAGAATAGTCTTTAAAAAAAAAAAAAGTCTTGCTTGTATTTCAGTACGCTGAGATAAGATACCATAGGAGTGACTTACTCGCCTGAAGTTATGAGCCAAACCTCTGAAGACACTGAGATGACATTCTATTTGCAAATGGACAGCAAGAACTTCAACTGTTGCAATCCTTATTTCTCACAATGACAAAGAGGAAGAAATTAATTTTAAAAATATAACTGCCAAAGCACCAACAATCAAATTGATGAACAAGAACTTTATTTTGTACACATAAAGGTTGATGAAAAACATTAGTTTCCTATTAAAGAAAACCCAACATTTCAATTAAAAAGAATGGTGTCTAAATTTGCTCGTTAAATCAATGTTTTCTAAAACAGAACTTGAAAACATCCAACATGCTTAATCTCAGTACAAAGGCTTCAAGACCAGAATACAGGTTACATGCATCAAGGCAGACTACAAATTATCATAGTCATCATCGTCATCGTCATCATCATCATCTTCGCGCTTTCTTTTCAACGCATTTGATGACTCACTGGCAGTATTTTGTGATGATACCATATTAGTGGTAATAAGAATGTTTTTGGACCCAATTAATGATGGATTAATCAGAACATTCGGAACTGCTGAAGTTGCAGGAATGGAGGCTTTTACAGTAGGGGCCTGTGAGGCTGGCATCTGTACGGTAAACCTCTGCCCAGTGAGGGACACAGGAGCCCCTACTTTGGCTGAAACAGACATGGCCTGCGGGGTTGGTGTGCCTAGTGTGGGGGTACTTGGTCTGCTAGTAACTGAACCAACACTCAACCGTGGAACTGTTATTCTTCCTGCCGTAGCAGATGCCTTTTTTTGTAAAGACTTGAGTCTGTAGTTTGGAGCTGTTAAACAGTATCGGTCAGGTGGTAACCTAGGACCTGAATATGGCTTGATCAATGGCAAGGGGGTTTGGTTTCTCTGTCTTGCAATATCTAATAAAAAATCTCTCGGGGGAGGAGAAGTAAAAGATTGGTCAGCTCGACACTGGATTGCCAGTCGCACATCATCTGCATCAACAGTGGCTTTCTTGGCATGGCTTGAATAAATTTTAGCATCATCTAGAATTGTGGTTACATATCGGAAGGCAAACTCCAGCATCTGATTTATAACTCTTGGCTCATACTCTGTAATCCCCATATCCTTCAGGATCTGTGCCATCATTTGCGCATCTTTCGGCATGCTCTTGGGAGAAGCCATCTTGCCAGACTCCATGACATCCGTTGATCAGACTTTAGATTGTTTGAAAAAAATATGTACATTAGATCAAACCAAAATAGTCACTTTAGCAGCAACTGTTAGGAACTTAAAATGTTCAACTGTTAAAATTTTTAAGATATACTTAAAATTTACAATGTATCTCATCTTTTTAATTTTAATGAAGTATACTTAAAAGTTCCCTTTACTTAAGTGCATTGAGTTCCTACTCTGTATTAATTGTAGAATATAAAAAGTTGAAGACAAAAATAAGTGCGTGAAGAAAAATTGGAAGAAAATAGGGCAAAAAATAACATGGATCACCTTAGAATATATGCATCTGTATCCAGGCACACAATCCTCACACTAACCTAAGAAAATAGCATTGGATAGTTATATCCTACTGTCTGAGTTTGACAATTTCTGTTCTTACAGTAACAGCAATATGTCATTTCATACATTTAGCTGGTGTCAACAATTCAAAATGTTCTCTCCCTTGTATTCTATCTATCCTAAGACCAACAATCATTACTATTCACAAGAACTGACAGCCACTTTGGGGGTGGGAAGGGAAATGGTCAAAATGACCAGGGCACAGTATTGGCATTTGGTGGGTAGTTCATCTTTCTGCATGACCCCAACAGAGCATAATTTCTTTAGAAGCAATTCTGCACCCTCTCACAACTCCTAATGGTACTATTTCTCCACTTACCTTCTCGAGCTACATCACCCACATTAATGTATTTCAGTCCTGATCTGGATGCAAGTTCTTTGCCTAGTGTGGTCTTTCCAACTCCTGGTGTGCCTGTAAGACAAGCCACAGAAGAATACTGTTTGTGAAATATGACTTACTGGACATCAGGCACCTTTTGCTCTTAATGTTCTTAACAATTTGTATGAAAATTTTCCCAATTAGCAAACATATATAAATATATACCAAGACCTAATCAAATTTCTCAGAGATGACTGGAGATCAGATTTTCACTCACATTATCTGATTTAACAAGAGCTGGGGCTCAAGCAATTTTGTCATCGGTTCTGCTTGCTATTAACATGGAACTGCCCACGATTAATTTAAAATAAGCCATCTCAAATCAATTACCATTTATTTGCTTTAATTAAAATAAGCCAGGAATTGCACACACACACACCTGTAGCCTGTAATCCCCAGCACTCAGAACGCTGAGGTGGGAGGATCACCATAAATTCGAGGCCAGCCTTTACATAGCAAGATCTTATTTCAGAAAGAAAGGGGGGGGGCGCACACAAAACAAAAACCTCTTGTTCTCTTCTTTATAGGGAACTGCGAAAACAAGTTTCTTACATGTTCTTCCAAATAAGTCTTATGTGTATGTGTACATATACAATATTGTGCATATCCATACATACATTGTATTTTTATTTAAAGAAAAAAAAAGGATAAAAAAATACAGAATTTCAAAAAAATATTAACACTAAGAAATCACTGGTTGATAAATTACATATTGTTCTCTTAGAAATAGTTGTTCAAGTTACAAAATCAAAGCATAAAACGTGGATAGACACTCAATGTATATTCTTTTTTATGTAATGGCAATAGATTGATTACCTTGTTCTTTAGTTTCTCCTTGTTATATCTAATACTATTCCAAAATATATAACCAAATACATAATTTTCAGTTCTTCATGTTTAGTGTCACTGAAATGATTTACTATACTACTTGGGTTTTTTTTTTTTTTTTTGAAACAAGGTTTTGCCATATAATACTGGCTAGTCTTGAACTTGAACTTGCTTAGTCTTAACTTGACACATTTTTTCCATAAAATGTTCACTTTAGATTTTCTACAACATGGTTTGGTAGTAACAACCAGGACATTATGTCTAATCCTTTATATGGATTGCTGAAAATTTTCCTGCACGAAACCTTAAAAGTTTATTTGTTGAATGGTTAAGGTGCAGCACTCAGAAACAGTTAGGACTCACATGTTGCTAAGAATTTTAATTTCTTTTATGACACCACCTATACAATTAGATTATTGCAGGAGTGGCGTATGATGCTATTAACTGCTACAAGTTAATAGTTTGAGAGCTAACAACTAGCAGTAATAAGGTCATTATGTCGTACAGTATTTTCCTTTTCTTTACTGGTAACACATAACTTGAGAATGACTCCAAAAAACTAGAAAAGCCTCAAACTAGCCCGAAATCTTCACAGCTTCCCAGGTGAGAAACGTGCTGAAATGCTCAGTAGATGTCTAAACATTAAAAAAAAAAAAAAAAAAAAAAATCCTTGAGTCGGGCGTGGTGGCGCATACTTGTGATCCCACCACTCGGGGAGCTGAGGCAGGAGAATCGTTCCAAGTTCGAGAACAGTCAGGGCTACAAAGTGAGCTTAAGGCCATCCTGAACAAGACCCTGTCTCAAAAAGACAAAAATAAATTAAAAAAAAATTTAAAAACCTCTGATATTCAACAAAAGTACACACTTGCAGTAGACTGACCACATCACAAATACCCGAAATCATGTTAAGAAGTCTGATCTGTAAACTGAAAACAGAACAGAACAGAAAAGATGAGCAAAGGCCTAAGGAGGGAGGCATCCACCATTAACAGATCACTAAGGGCCCGACGGTAGCTTATATCACCTCAATAGAAATCCCAAACCCAGCCGTACCAAAGTCAACCGCCTATTTAACAAGCAAAAGGACCAGATTCAATCAGATTCAGTCGATTGCAAGAAAGACAAATCGGCCTCGTCCGCAACTCGCAAGGCGCTCCGGGAGGCTCTGTAGCGCTTCCGCCGCCCCTCCCCCGCCCCTTGCCGCGGTCGGCAGAGCCAGGCCCGAGGCCTGGCGGGCGTCAAGCGTGCGGCCAGTCACCGAACACTCCCAGCTCCCACCTGGGCGCCCGAAGCCCAGAGCGCTCGGCGCCCCGCCTGCCCCACCGCCCGGCAGCGCGCTCACCAGTGATGAGGACGTTCGGCAGCAGCATAGTCCCAGACTTGGCGATACTCGCCCACTTCACATATTGAGGGGCGGAGCCGGAAGGGGCTTAGGGATGCACCCGCCCACAGCCCGGAGGGCCAATGCGCCCCAGCGCGACTGACCATCTCCGCAGTCCGGCCGTCGGCCTTTGGTTACTTCACCTTTCATAATATGCTTCTAGCATATACTCAGGGCCTAGGGACTCAACTGTAGCACGCGTTATGACCAGGCAGTACGCCGGACACCAAAAGCGCTGACTCTTCCATGGCCCCTCCCTTCGGGCTGTGTCGCTGGAGCGCCGGCAAATGTAGAAGGCCCCCAGGAGGCGGACCCTGTGAGAGCTTCGGTTCGGACCTGGAGAGGCCTGGGAGGCTGCACATCCTCCAGGAACAGAGCCTGGGCTCCTCCGCTCCTCTCTGCCCACGAGGTGATGCAGCTCCTGGAAGGTAAGGACACTAGATCTGCGGCTACGTTTATCCTAGAGACGTTAAGTACTCTCTCCCTTTACGCCTTCCTCAGACTCTCGTCGCTCCTCCTCCTGACCCGCCCATCTCCTCTAGGGTGGAAGAAGGGTGAGGGGACTGAGAACGCTGGGCTGAATCTGAGGGACGTGTGAGCTCGACTCAGCTCACAGCTGATTGCAAAATTATCTGGAACGAATGCTTGAGCTTAGTCCTCTCTGTGCTGCATAGCGTGTGGAGTGGTAGTGAGTCTGCTGAGAATAGTCTTGAAGGTATTTTCTGACTGTGTAGTCTGTGAAATCCGGTGTCATCGGAAATAGTTGCCTTCTTTTTAAAGTGTTAACTGTCAGTCTTGTTTTCAAAGAGTAACTTAGAATCTTGACCTTAACACTCTGCGTTATTTTTTTTATTTAAAGAGAAAAAAAAGTAAAAGGGTACAAGTAATACAGAATTTTAAGAAAGAAAAAAATACAGTAAGAAATCACTGGTTAATAGATTACATATTGTCATCTTAAAAACAGTTTTGCGTTCTGTATTTACACCTACCACCTGCATTTACTGAATCCCTTTTTTTCTTTTGCAAGAAAATTTGTTGTCCCTTTTTTGAAACATAGTTTGTAATCTGTTTGGAGGCGGAGATGAAGAAATCATTTGTTTTCTCTTGTGTAAATGTTTGCTTTATAGGTTTTGTGTCCGTCCAGGCTGTGACATAGTCCAGTACACCTTCAGTGTGTAGGTTTGTTGGCTTAAACTTCTTCTGGCTATTTTAAAACTATTTAAATCACTGGTTTGCAAAAGAGTTTAAGAATTGTGAAACTTGAAGAACGCAGTATTGCCAAGAAATTTTCTAATTTCAGGTTCAATTGCGGGACACAGTTACAGAAATGATTTGCAATAGGACTTAAATTCTTTATACAAAGTGATAGTCTGAATTTATTGTATTTTCTTTTTTAAAAAAAACTTGGAAGTAAGCAAATTTGCAACTATAAAATGGTTTACTATTCAAATAGGATTGTCTAATTTTGTATTACAAAAAGTAGGCACAAGGTTCTTAGTTCGGAACACATAAACTAAAAAGTAGTTACACAAATTCGTGGGGGCATTTTGTTGTTTTTTTGTTTTGTATCTTTGAGACAAAGTCTCTGTAGTTCAGGTTGACCTTGAACTTGCTACATAGCCCAGGCTGTCCTTGAATTTGTGGAGTTGGATCCTCCTGCATCAGCCTCTTGCACTACTCCCAGTGCTGGGAATTCAGGTCTGTACTTCTGGGTAATGCGTGGTTTTTCTCTTTAACTAATTATTGAGTTCATGTGAAAATTTTTTTCATTTATATCACCACAAGTAAATTGCTTGTGTAAAATTTATTTACCATTTTTGTGTTTTCCTATATGTATTCTCTTTTATATTGAGCCTTTATATTTGCATTTCTTGAGCTTTTTTATTGTGTTTTTGGTTATATCAGTGTAAATTGTTTAATAAAAATTCATTATTTACCATTTTTCTTCATTTGAGTTGGTTTCTCTTTTTTTCTTCCCTAGGTGAATTATACTTTAATGTACTACAGATTGTGTACTATGGATGGAAACTGTTAAAGTTTATAATGTCAAAAACTTTTCTTAGACAAAAGGTATCTTCCATGAAGGTATGACATACAAAAATAGCCATGTTATAACAGCCTAAAAAGAGTTACAAATTTTTATGTGTTCTTACTGTCTTATCACTTCGCTCCAAGTATCTGTTGTAATTAATGATCTGAACTAGTATGCAAATAAGTTATAAAACCACAACCTTAGTTTTGAAAAAAGTATTTTATCATCCCTACTAAACTAAAAAGCTGAAACCTACAACTAAAAGCTGAAACCCCAGAATTACAGAGCACAGAAGAGAAACATACATGAGTATAGTTGGTATTACAGCTTACAACAGGCCTTACCTCTTAGAAGTCATGTGATTCAGTTTAACAGTTTTCAGATAGGGGTAAGGCAGTATCATATAAGATAGCTATTTTCCAAGTGTTGGCTTGAATTTTTTTTGTCTTAAGTAACTTATGTAACTTTATTATTTCACTTATTTTTTAGTAGATATGAGTCCACATTTATATAATAAAATGTATAAGTAATATACAAATCAAAATTACTCTGAACTGTAACAAAAATATTTTCATGTATTCTGTTGGAGAGATAAAGTCTTGATATGTAGTCCAGACTGGCCTTCAGTTCATTATGTAACCCAGACAGGTTTCACACAGCAGACTTTCTGCCTCAGCTTCCTAAGCACTGGGATTATAGGCATGTGCCACTATACCTGGCTTCATGTATTCTTAAACATAGAGAAAAGGCATAAGTCTAGTATCTGTGACAATCTTTTCCCAAAGAGAAAATGAACTGGGTTGCTATGATTTTTTTTCAATAGTCTTTCTTTACCCACTGCCAATATTTCTACTATCTTAAAAAGACTGAAGTGTGACTGACTGTCCGTAAGATCTTAAAAGCTGTGTCTTCCCTTTCCTGAGCCTACTTTCACTTTCAGCCTTTTTTTCCTCCTTGAAAGAAGCATTATCTAATGGCTCATAATTGTAACTAAATGTTCTTTTACTTTATCATTAGTGCATATTAATTGTAAAAAGTAATAGGTCTCGTTATGACATTTTCACAACATCCTTATTTTCATTGGTGCCAAGAATTAAAGCCAAGGCCCTATGATGGAGTATTCTTGTTTTTCCTCCTCCTTATTCCTCTTCGTCCTCCTCTTCTTCACCTTCTTTTTTCTTTTTATCCTTGAAATAAAAAGGATTTAGTGGGTTGTTCTTCAGAGCTTATTTGGAGGTTCTAGCAGGAAAATACAGTTGCTCATACACCCTTGACTTAGGAGACAGTACTCTATTGGAGGTGGTTATCCTCCTCAACCTGTAGTGAAGCTTTGGGAGGGATGCACATAGAGCAGTGAGGGAAGAAAGGGACACCTGCCTAGTCAGCCAGATCAGCTGAATCAACCCTAGCAATTGATGGGTGACTGATGTCTCAGCCAGATCGCCCTCACATCCCCTAGAGTGGAGTATTCTTGGTGATGTTTGTTTGAAACAGGGTTTCACTATGTAGTTTAGACTCACCTTCAACTCACTAGCCTAAGCTGGCTTTGATCTCATGGTGATCCTCCTGCCACAGCCTCCCAAATTCTGGGATTACAGGCGTGTGCCACCATGCACAGCTAAGATTTCTATTTTAATGTTTTTATATATATATATATATATAGAAATATATGACTTTTGTTTTCAGAATAGCTCAGTTATGTAGATGGAAAACAATAATAATATTTACATAGTGTGTTTGTTTCAGGTGACAGACTGGGTAGATGCATCATTTGATGATTTTTCAGAAACCACCGGCTTCTCTACTGTTCCTGCCACATCTTTAGGGGTGAATAACTCAAATCACAGAAGAAAGAATGTGCCTTCCACATTGGAAAGCAGCAGAGCTCCAGCTGGAAAAGGAGGAAAGCTGTCTTCCTTAGAACAGATTTATGGTCCAGAAAATTTTAAAGATTATTTGTCAGAAAGTGAACCATGGGTAGATAAATATAAACCTGAAACTCAGGTACTAAATGGCATACAAATATGTCTGCATAATTTAATTTTGAGATGAATGGGAAGGAGGAAAATGTCCCCTTTCACATTTTTACTTATAAGAATCTTTCTCAGTGAAATAGGAAAAAAAAAATTTCAGATATTTTTATGTTTTAAGGCTCATATTTTATCAACTAGTTTACAAGTTGTACCTTTTGTCCTTTATCTTAGATTTAATTTAACCCATTATAGAATTTATATATGGATGTGTACATTTATCTACTTGCTAAATGCAATACCTATCTCTCTTCCTTTCCCAAAATGTATTTCTGAGTTGTAAAATATTTCATAATTACAAACTTCTGTAATGATCGTGTAAGTCATTTTAGTATGTCATTAATGTAAAAGTTCAAGTATAATCAAAAGAAGATAAAAATATATATTTTACAAATATAAATACATATTCAAAAAGACATAAAATATATAAAAGCACTGGGGCTGGGGTGTAGCTCAATGGCAGTGTGCTTGCCTCAAATGTGTGAGACTTTGAGTTCTATCCCCAGAACCAGAAAAATAAAAATATAAAAGGACTTAAACATTTCTTTACTGAAAATGTTTAAATGTCATTGGTGCTGATATAGCAAAGATCATTCAGTTAAAATGTCTTGTTTTTAACCCAAAATTTTTATCTTAGCATGAACTTGCTGTGCATAAGAAGAAGGTTGAAGAAGTTGAAAGCTGGTTAAAAGCTGAAGTGTTGGAACGGCAACGAGAACAGGTAACTAAATAAGAAATATGTTTTTAAAAATTCAGCAGCAGCAGTTTCCCTGCCTTATGGGAAGTCAGAGAAATGAAGTCCAGGTGCCCATGGGAAAAACCTCATGGCCTAGCAGTCCCCAGCCTCATCAGAAGCCTCAGGGCTGGGTGCCTCCCAGGGTTTGTGTTTCATTCTACCTTTTAACATCCTGCTATCAGCATATGGCACAGTGAGCTGACTAGACTGGTAGTCAGTTAGCACATTAGTTTATCTCACACTGAAGCATGCAGGCAAATTACACATTAGTTTTTTAACTAAATATAACCTGAAACAGTCATTATTCATTTTAGACTGTTGTTTTTTGTTTCACTTCCTAAATCTGCAGTTATCTTCCCCTCCCAAATGTTCTCTCCTTCTCTTATATCTCTTTTTCAACTTTTTGAACTCTTTAATTTCCTTCAAACATAAAAGGAAATAGATGTATTCATCTATGACTAATATGCTCTCATTTTATACATTAAATATTGAAGAGTAAGTGACATTTTACCTTTCAATACCTTGACATGCCACTCTTGAAAAAAGGGAGGCATGTATATATATGTACAAAATTTTGAGAAAATATAACTAATGCCCTCATGTTATATAATGATGACTGTTTGTTGATTTGTTTGGGTTTTTTTGTCTTTTTTTGAGGCAGGGTCTCTATGCAGTTCATGCTGGCCTTGAGCTCACTTTGTAGCCTAGCCTGGTCTTGAACTCCCAATAATCCTCCTACTTCAGCCTCTCAAAAGTGCTGGGATTACGGACATGAGCCACCACGCCCAGCAATTGTTTGTTTTTGAGACAAGGTCTCACTATGCAGTTCAGAGCTGGCCTAGAACTCATGGTATTTCTCCGTTCTCAGCCTCCGAAGTGCTGGAATTATAGGCATGCACCAATTCTGGCTTCATTTTTTTTTAAATTTTTTTTTTTTTTTTTTAATACTGGGAATCCTATTCAGGACCTTGCACTTGCCAGGCAGGCAGTGTGCTGTGGAGCTATATCCTTGGCCCTGGCTTCATATATTTTAAACTTGCATCTCCTTAGCTATCCCCAAACTGTCATCATTGTCATCATCATCTTTCTTCTTCCTTCTCCTCCTCCCTCTTCTTTTTCATCTCATCTTCTTCTTTGTCATTGTTGCCATCATCATCGTTGTTGTTGTCTGAGACTAGATCTTATTGTGATACCTAGGCTGACCTCAAACTTTTGGTCTCAATTGGTCCTCCTGCCTCAGCATTTCTTTCATAAATTCTTCAAGGATTGTGGTGCATGTTTTATATTTTCTATATTGTGTACTCTCAAAAAGCATGGCTGATTATTCTGCTGTTTGATGTTGTCTGCCTGTCTGATTAAGGAGATAGTAGTTAAACATCACGTCTGCATCTTGTACCTGGTGTAGAACTAATGGGAAATGCTTAAGCACATGTCACTGCCTTGTTCTTCACAAGTTTAGAACATCAGTGATTTCGTATTTGGCAATCCTTGCCTGAATCATTTGTTTAATTAGGATTATTTAATTAACTGCCTTCTTATAAAAAACTTGTCATCATTAGGGCTCCTTCATTGCTGTAAAATGTGGTTTAACTAGAAAGACAGCCAGGCATGAACCACCAAAGGCTTTTTCATTGATTTTTTTTTTTTTGCGGGGGGTGGGGGGTGGGGGGGAGGCAGGTATCAGGAGTCAAACTCACATCCTCATACTTCCCAGGTAAGTGCTTGAGCTACTGAGCTAAATTGCCAACCCCTCACTGAATTTTTTTTTTTTTTGTCAGCCTTCACCTGATAGTTTTTTTCATGGAACCACTATTTTCTCACTTAGAAGTACTTTTTAAAAAAACTTTAATAATAAATAATCAAGTCTTAAACCTATCTAGGTGTTACTATTATTCTGCCAATTGGAAAACTGAGATATCTGTATACATAGGTATTAGGATAAGGATTTTTCTAGAATTGAAAAGCATCCCCCAACACCAGGAATTGGACTTAATCATTTATGTACTTTTTTTATTTTACAAAAATCTCAGGGGCTGGGGATTTAGCTCAGTAGCATAAGCACCTTCTTTGCAAGTACGTGGTTGTGAGTTCAATCCCCAGTACCGATAAAAAAAAAAAAAAAAATTTCAGTGTTGTTTGACATTTTTCTTGAAAACAGAGTTTGATAATTTTTAGATTTGTCAGTGCTTAAGGAAACTGACTTTAAAATTTTGTTATAAATATTCCAACTATTAGCTTATTTTAATTTTTCAGGATAACATCTTCAGAATAGTGCAGTAAATCTCCAGTTGTAGACAATGGAAAGTTAACTGTCTTACTGGACGCAAAATTGTTGTTATGAGACTCTATGTACTATGCTAAAAAACGGACCATAGCCGTATTATATTTTAAAAAATGTAGCTAGGTATAGTGGTTTATGCCTGTAATGCCAGCCCTTGGGAGGCTGAGGTAAGTGAATCACTGCAAGTTTAAGGTCAGTCTGGACTATATAGTTCATGGCAGACCTGAACTACATCCACTACTAACAAGAGCCTATCTCAAAAAAAAAAAAAAAAGAATAGCAACAGCACATGATGCATGTTTTTTTATGTGATCTAGTTGGAAATATGGCCAGTTCTCAAGGTTTTACATGCTGAAAAGTTACTAAAGGAAATACAGTATTGAACCATTTTCCTAAGAAAAGTACTACATTAGGCTTCTGCAAACTTCCTATTATAATGTAGTTAGTTAACCTAACAGTGGGTTTCCAGGGACTCTGTCTTTTCTAGGGAATTTTATAGAGTAAAATCATGAGGTGAGATGGGTCTAAAGTGGGGAAAAACTGGGATCTTGCAAGATAGATGGGCATGAAGTGGGACAGAGCTATGGTCAACCAATAAGTTTAATTGTTCAGGTAAAACTGACCAAATCAGGGCCAAGTAGGGAAGCAAATCACGTAGCAAGTAAGCTTTCTTTACAGATCAGTGACTTCCCATAGTGGGTTGGGATAATGATTCCTGGCTTCTTAAGGTGATCCATATCCCTAAGGATTATTCAGTTTTAACCTATCAGGTATTTTATTTTATTTTATTTTTGAGGCAAAAATCTCACTATGCAGTTCAGGCTGGCCTTCAGTTTGAAGGCTGGCCTTGAAATCATAGACATTATCCTGCCTCAGCCTCCTGAGTGCTGGGATTATAGGTATACACCACCATGCCTGGCTTAACCTACCATTTTTATATGTGTTTATTTAATATATATATGTTGCTGAGTCATTAACACTGAATACATGGCAAGCAGCCCTCATGCACTGTCATTTTGTTGTTTTCCTGAGACAGTCTCATCAGGTAGTTCAGGGTGGCATTGAACTCACTGTGTCATACAGGATGCCCTCAAACTTGTGATCCTTTTGGCTCAGCCTGCCAAGTGCTGAGATTACTGGAGTGCACCTCCACTCCCAGTTAATACTCTTTTTAAAAGTGGAACTGACTCTTTTGTATCAAAGTGTGCAGGCCCTCACCTCCACTAGATATAAGCAAGGAGTATTGTTCACTATTGCAAGTAGGAAATCTTTCCTTACGCCTTTTTTTTTCTTTGTTTTTGTTTTTGGTAGGGGTATTGAACTGACAACCTCAAGCTTTCAACTTTAATTTTTTTTTTACCACATTTATTTTATGAAGTAACATTACTGGAGCCTTCAGCCTCCTATCATTAGAGTTATATGTATGGTAAATAAATTTCTTAATGTTTATTTCTTCTAGAATCTAATATGCAAATGACATTCCCATAAGAATATTATAACAGTAAATTATATTCTGTGAGCAGTCTGTTAAGATTAAATTTTAAGACTTAAGGTAATCTAAAAAAAAAAAAAAAGACTTAAGGTAATCTAAAAATCTTTTAGACTTTACCTACTTAATTAGGCCAAATTTTAGTATTTTAATTTGGCTCCTAAGTGGTCTTTGGGAAAGATACAATGTAAGAATTGAGGAATTAGCAGAAGAGGGATTTATTATTCACAAACTGATTCTCATTTTATCTGAAACTCATTTAATTATGAAATTTAGTCTGCTTATACTGGACATTCAATATGTGGAGTAAGAACAAGTTTAGAAAGTTGAAAAATAATACTCTAGCATTCCAGTGATTGTTTTGTACGTATATTTTTCCTTTGTGGTGTTAGGGATCAAACTCAGGACCTTTGCCTGTGGTAGGCAAGTCCTCTACCACTAAATTACACCTCAGCACTCATAATTTTAGTCTTTAATTGTTTGTATTTGTTTTTAGGGTGGCTCTGTCTTATTAATAACAGGTCCTCCTGGGTGTGGAAAGACTACTACTATAAAAATACTTTCAAAGGAACATGGTATAGAAGTACAAGAGTGGATTAATCCTGTTCTACCAGACTTCCAAAAAGATGACTTCAAGGAGCTATTTAATTTTGGTAAGTGTTGTAGTCAGAAGTTGCCAGGAAAACAGTTACATATAGGACACATGATTTATAATAACTGCTGGTACCAAAATCTGTGTTAGTCAGGGTTTTACTAGAGAAAGATACAATACAGGATATGCAAATGTAATTTATAAGATTTGCCGATGGTCAGCCACAGAGTTGAATGAGGAAGTATGCAGACCGTGTCTGCACACTGGAGGCTGAAGGATACAATTCAAGATCTGGAGTTCACTGCAGTGTCCCGTACAAGTCCCTGCACCAGGAGGCCAATATGTCTGCCACAGAAGACTGAAAGATCCAAGGCAGAAACCAAAGAGTCTGCCCTGGAAGCCAGATGATGTCCAAACCAGAGGCAAAGCCTGGAGCTCCTCCAAAGAACAGAACTCTGTCAGTCCTTCCTCCTTCCCTTTTATACTATCCAGGTGATGAGCCACCCTAGGGTGGGTCTGCTATACCATAGGTGTAAAATTGCTAAGCCGATTTCATTGAGCTTCTAAATGTTTCAAGTTGACACAGTCAATCATCCACAACAATAAGGTTTGCTGTGATGATACTGGAAATAGCAAGAGAGACTTGTGCCTAATGGACCATTCAGATGAGGCTGGCCAGTTTCTAAGAGCAGTGATTTCAGAAGGACAAGGAGCTGACTAGAGTGAAGGAGAACAGGATTCGTTCAGGTTTAAGTGGTAACTCTTATTAGAGAATAGTTGCTTATGTTTTCATTATTTCTGGAGGTTACACAACATAAGATCTTATTTGTTTAAATGTGAATCAGGTCTTAAAATGTGTTAATGGAGCCAGATGTGGTGGCACTGTCTCAGAGGCGGAGGCAGGAAGATTGGCTTGAGTTCAAGGCTAACCTGATTTACACAATGAGTTCAAGGCCAAACTACATAGTAATTCTGTCTCCAAAAAAATAAAATGTGTTAAGCAAATTTGGTTCCCAAGAAGATAGTTTAGGCCAGACAGCCAGGCATGGTGGTATGTACATATAGTCCCAGCAGGGTCTATATGTACACCTCAGTCCCAGAGGCTGAGGTGAGGGGATCATTATGAGTTTGAGGCCAGCCTGTGTTATATAGTGAGCTAGAGCCAGGCCCTGAACTACATAATGAGACACTGTCTAAAAAACAAAACAAAAAAAAATAAGATGATTATGATTGCTAATGCTTAGTAGGGTCATATCAGATCAAAACATAAGGCCAAAATAAGGCCTTTGAAACTTGGAAGGAGACTTTAAGACAACATCAAAAAGTAATCATGGTAACTTTTTGTTTTGTTCTGTTTTGTTTTAGATTTTTTGATTTTTGAGACAAGATCCTACTATGTAGTCCAGGATAGCCTTAAACCCAAACTCTTCGTGCCTCAGCCTCCTTGGTAATGGGATTACCAGGTATATGCCACCACTCCCAACTCTGGCGCTATGATTTTTATCTGTCCTGGGTTTTCTTATACTATAGGAAGTAAATTAGGAGTATCCTAACCTAAGCTAATTGTAAGTGAGGAATTGTGCAGGACAGTTTTATTTTAACGGGGAGCATGTATCAGAAACCTTTCCTCAGGACTTCTGTAATACACTGGCTATGTACCCTGTTTTTGGCATATACTTCCTTATTCTGCTAGTGTCCTATGTCCTAGTTTTTTTTTTTCTTTCTAGTGTTGAGTGCTTTCTAAATGGTGATGTTACTTCGGGCAGTTTTAATCTTTTTTTATATATGAATCTTGTCTTCAGGGAACTCTATGGCTAAGTTACTGTCATTCTATTTTATTGTTAAACTTATATTTATCAATTGTATTAATGTTGTCTGAAGTCAGATTCATTGTTATAGGGAAATTATTGTTGTTCATGTTCACTGTCGTCTTTTGGAGTGAATATGAGTTGTCTGAAGGAGGATTTTGGTTTTGAGTTTTTGGGTTTTTTCCCCTAGGGGCAACAATGGTACATACATTGTAGTGGGTTTTGCTTATTTAGTTTGGTGGTGGTTGTTTTGAGACAAGGTCTTGCTCACAATTTCACAATATTGGAGACTGTTTTATTATAGAATGCAATTTTGTTGGCATCTTGTACATGTAAGTGATTTGTATATATGTGTACATATGCATATGTATAATATTAATGTGTATATATAATTCATTGAAAATAAAAGTGGTAAATGTGTTTCTTTTCAGAGTCAAGTTTCCATAAATTTCCATATCAGTCTCAGATAACAGTGTTCAAAGAATTTCTACTAAGAGCAACAAAGTATAACAAACTACAAATGCTTGGAGATGATCTGAGAACTGATAAGAAGATAATCCTGGTTGAAGTAAGGACAGCTTTTTTAAACTGCAATTGCCAAGGATGTAGCTCAGTGGCACAGCACCTACCTAGCAAGTGTGAGGTCTTAAGTTCAATTCCCAGAACCCCCCAAAAACACATAATAAGCTGTGCTGCTGCTATTGAGTGAAAGGTTGTACAGCATACCTTGTTTGTAAACATTAACTATCTCCAGGGCTGAATGGCTCAGGATAGCAAAACACAAAGGCTTTGTCATTGCAGAAACCTAAAGTCTTTTTCAGTAAACTTAGTACAGGTATAGGTTAACAAAGTTTAAAACTTAACAGCTTAAAAAAAAAAAAAAAAACTTAACAGCTTCAGTACAGAAGAGCAAAGGAAATATTTGAAAAATTATTTCTCTACTACAACTGGTAAAGTGACTTCTGTGAACTTTAATCCAAAACTTGAGGTTTCCATGAATGTGTGCTACTGTTGAGCTATTTCATAGTTCTCTTAATTTCTCTGAACGTTACAGTGAAAATACATTGGATACATTTTTTCTTGTCTTGAAAGAGATAAATCTGAAAATAAATATGCAAAAGAGTACAATTAACATTTATTCTCTGTTTCTTACCAGGATTTACCTAATCAATTTTACCGAGATCCTCACACTTTACATGATGTTCTGAGGTGCGTATGAGTGAAGCACAATATTCTCAGCGCCACACTAGGGGTTGGGTCTACTGCTCAGTGGCTGCGGTTCTCAACCTGCCATGGACCATTGATCCAATAATTAAAAGTGCACTTGAAATGGCAAGTAGCTTATGTTTCAACATTTCTGTATTTTCTTGTTTTAGGAAATATGTGCAGATTGGCCGATGTCCTCTTATATTTATAATTTCTGACAGTGCTAATGGAGATAATAATCATAGGTTACTATTTCCCAAAGAAATTCAAGAAGAATGTTCCATTTCAACCATTAGGTAAGAAAGATGTCTGCTTAGAATGTTCATATACGTGGCAATATTTCTAAATTAATCATTTAATTCTCATCTCTGTCTTACTTACAGTTTCAACCCTGTGGCACCAACAATTATGATGAAATTTCTTAACCGAATAGTGACTATGGAAGCTAATAAAGTAAGTGGTGAATTTGACTTTTACCTTTTAGTGATTAAAAAACTTATATAGAATATATACTGGAAGAGTTGCAGACATGATTTTAGGATGAAAAACTCATATGGCATGTCATTTGATCAACTAGGGGAAATACTGATTAAAAATAATTTCAGCGCTGGGGATTTAGCTCAGCGGCATAAGCGCCTGCCTTGCAAGCAGGCAGTTATGAGTTTAATCCCTGGTACCGATAAAAACTGCAAAAGACAAGAAATAATTTAACTTCTTTTTACTGTTAGACTTAACATTCACATTGATGTAAATTTTCTCTTTGCTAGGCTTAGTGTTCTAAATTATAGCTGTCATCAAGGAAATACTTTCTAAAGAAGGGAAACATGAAAACAAAGCTTTGTAAATGGGGAGGGGAGGAGATGTTGAAGGGAGGATAGGGGCATAGAGGAAAAAAAAGAGCAAGTTGTTCTTCGGCAGCACATATACTAAAAAGAGCAAGTTATATCATGTACATGTACAAATTCTCTAATTCTCTATGATGAGTGTGACCATTATGTATATCTAAAATGTACCGATAAAATCTCAAGTAGAAGGCAAAAAAAATTTCTTTAATGTACAAATGAGTACACTATACCTATTGTAGAAGTAAAAAATTGAGCTTTGTAGAAGGAATAACTTGTACAGTGTACTATAACTATTAAGGATCAAATGGGGTTCAAGTTTCTTTTTTTTGTTTTGTTTTTGTCTTTTTCCTTTTTATCAGTACCGGGGATCAAACTTATGACTGCCTGTTTGCCATGCAGGCGCTTATGCCGCTGAGCAAAATCCCCATCCCCTCAAGTTTCTTTTAACTCTTAACTTACTGTATTAAAACAACTAATTGTCAATAACAATAAATGTGCATGGATATGGATATGTGTGTGTGTGTGTGTGTGTGTGTGTGATGAAAGTACATAAAGGTGGTTAGTGTCATTAGTTCTGCATAGATCTGATTTTGGCTTTTAAAAATTCTCATGCTTGGGCTGGAGATTTAGCTCAGTGGCATAAGCGCCTGCCTTGCAAGTGCAAGGTTGTGAGTTCGATCCCCAGTACCAATAAAAATAATAAAAAATTAAAAAAGCAATTCTCATGCTTGAGCCAGGTGTGGTGACACATGTCTGTAATCTTAGCACTCAGGAAACAGGAGAATCACTGCAAATTCAAGGCTAGGCTGGGCTTCAAAGTGAGTTCAAGACCAGCCTGAACTGCATGGTGAAACCCTGACTCAAAAATACCAAAAAAAAAAAATTCACATGCTCTACTATAGGCATGATAATGCATATTATAGTTTTAAATATTTATTCAACATTACAGAGTAACCAAGAACAATAGTCAACATACTATTTTATCACATTTAACTCCAAACGTGTATTTTAAAAGCCATGTACCTGTAGTCTCAGCACTCTGGGAGGCTAGAACAGGGGAATTGAAAGTTTGAGCCCAGCCTAGGAAATGTAGCAACTTAAGACCCTGTGCAATAAAAAAATGGGGATGTAGCTCAGTAAAAAGGCCCTGGACTGAGTCCCCAGTACTTACTATCAAGATGGAAAAAACCAACTTTTGTTTTAATATTGGTCATTAATTGTAAATGGCATTTACCTTTAAAAGTTTTGTTATATAGGGCTAAGGATGTGGCTTAGTGATAGATCATTTGTGTAGCAAGTATGAGAATCTGGGTGCAATTCTAGCACCATCCATGCCTCCCTGTACCCTCCCCCAGAAAAAACTGGATTTAACCAAGGTGGTGACGGATACCAGTTTTGTAACCTCAGGTACTCCAGAGGCTGAAGCTGGAGGATCGCAAGTTTGGGGTCAGGTTAGGCAATTTAGCAAGACCCCCATCTCAAAATTAAAAGGGCTAGGGTAGCTCAGTAGAAGAGCACCCTGACTTCAATCCCCAGTACCAAAAAACTAGGTTGGAAAATCGAAAAGAGGATTGACATCCTAAGTCAGTTATATGAAAAAGTACTGAAATTTCTTAATAAGTTTATAAAACGATTGCTTTGCTTTTGTGAAAATGTTCTTTAGACTTGGCTCATAGTGAGTGTGTAGAGTGTGGAAGAATGACTGATTGTACATTTCAGCCACATTTGCATGTTCATAATCAGCATGTTTACTGTGTTCTTCAGCTTTCAAGGATTATAATTTCAAATTACATTTCCACTTTGGCACATAATCCATATCTAGAATTGTTTTCTTTTTTCTTTCTTTTTTTTTTTTTTTTTTTTGTCTTTTTCCTTTTTATCGGTACTAGGGATCGAACTCACGACTGCCTGCTTGCAAGGCAGGCGCTTATGCCGCTGAGCTTTAGCTGGGGATTTATCCCCAGCCCCTAGAATTGTTTTTTTAAAAGCACTTCTCTAGCCAGGTGAAGTGATGCACACCTGTAATCGCAGCACTCGGGAGGCTGAGGCAAGAGAATCACTGTGAGTTTGAGACCAGCCTGGGCTACAAAGTGAGTTCTACAAATGGACTTAATAGATGTCTATGGAGTGCTTCATCCTACAACGCCAGAATACACATTCTTCTCAGCTACACACAGGACATTCTCCAAAAGAGACTATATACTGATTCATAAGAATATGCTTAAGTAATTGACAAAGGAATTGAAATTGTCCCATGCATACGGAAATCCATGCCATCACAAGAACTCCATAAACACATGGAAATTAAATAGCACTCTGTTGAACAACAAATGGGTCACACATTAAAGAAGAAATTAAACACTTTTTACAGTGCAGTGATAATGACAGTACATCACACTGGAACTTGTGGGACATAAAGCAGTCTAAGGAGGGAAATTTATAGCCATAAATATGCATTTCAGGAAAGCAGAGGAAGCACATACAAACAACTTAATGTTGAACCTCAAACTTCTAGAAAAAGAAGAACAGGCTAAGACAAAAACTCATACAAGGGAAGAAATCATAAAGATCAGAGCAGAAATTAACACACTGGAGAGTAAAAGAACAATATAAAGAATCAGTGAATCAAAGAGTTTGTTTTTAAAAGACTAAAACTGACAGACTCTTAGCCAACCTTATGAAAAGAAAGCAAAGACTCAGATTCACTCAATTAGGAATGAAAAGGACAAAATTACAACAGACCCTGCAGAAAACCACAAACATCTATACCTACTTTGGAAATTTGTATTCTAATAAGATGGAAAATACAGAAAAAATGGACAGATTCCTACGTACATATGAATTACTCAAACTGAATCTAGAAGATATAAAAGTCCTAAGTAACCCAATATCAGTAAGTGCAATTGAAAACATAATTAAAAACCTATCAACAGAGAAAAGCCCAGGCCCTGATGGATTCACTGTTGAATTCTATAAGAAATTTAGAGAACATTTAACACCACTACTTCTCAAACTCTTTAATGAAATTGAGAGGGAAATGAAAGTCCCAAATTCATTCCTGGAAGCAAGCAATACCCTGATACCAAAGCTAGAGAAGGACCCAAGTAAGGAAAGAGGGTTACAGGCCCATCTCCCTAGTAAACATTGACGTAAAAATCCTCAAGACACTGGCAAATAGACTGCAGCAATGATCAAGTAGGATTCATCCCAGGAATGGTTCAACATACCTAAATCCATAAATATAAATCACTATATTAACAGAGCCAAGGACAAAAATCATATGATCATCTCATTAGATTCAGAAAAAGCTTTTGACAAGGTTCAGCACCCATTCATGATTTTAAAAAAAAACCTATGAAAAAACCTATGAAAAATTGGAATAGATGGTCTTTATCTCAATCTGGTAAAAGCCATCTACGACAAACCAACAGCAAACATCATACTAAATGAACAAAAACTGAAAGCTTTCACTCTAAAATCAGGAACAAGTCAAGGACATCCACTGTCTCTACTTTTACTGAATATAGTCCTGGAAACTTGAGTGGGAGCAGTTAGACAAAAGAAAGAAAGGAATAAAGATAGGAAAGGAAGAAGTTAAACTGATTATTTACAGATACGTGATACTCTACTTAGAAGATCGCCAAAAACTCCACCAAAGACTACTAGGTTTATTAAGCAAATTCAGTAATGTAGCTGGTTACAAAGTCAACACTGCAAAATCAGTAACCTTCCTGTACAGGAAAAACAGTACCTTTTATAGTAGCGTCCAAGAAAATGACATACCTAGGAATCAGTCTAAAAAGGATGTAAAAGACCTCTACATTAAAAACTACAGTACTCTGAAAAACGTGATTGAAGAGGACATGAGAAACTGGAGAAATATCCTATTCTCTTGGGTAGGAAGAGCCAGTATAGTGAAAATGGCCATACTACCAAAACTCTTATACAGATTCGTTGCAAAACCAATCAAATTCCAATACTGTATCTCACAGAATTAGAGAAAACAATCTGAAAAATTCATCTGGAACTAGAAGAGACCTATAATAGCAAAGACAATACTGGGCAACAAAGAGACACTACTGGGGGCTTCGCAATCCCTGACTTGAAATTATACTATACAGCTACTGTGATAAAAACAGTGTGGTACTAGCCCCCCCCCCCAAAAAAAACAAGACCTGAAGATCAATGGAATAGATTATAAGATGCACAAACAACTGCAGACACACTAAGCTACCTTATGTTTGAGAAAGGTGCCAAACACACTCACTGGAAGAAAGGTAGCCTTTTTAAATAAATGGTGCTGGAAAAACTAGCCTACACATGCAAACATTAAAATGACTTATATCAGGGCTGGGGATTTAGCTCAGCGACATAAGCACCTGCCTTGCAAGCAGGCGGTCGTGAGTTCCATCCCCGGTACCGATAAAAAAAGAAAATGGTTAAAAAAAAAAAAAAAAAATGACCTATATCTTTTACCATGTACCAAGCTGAAATCAGAATAGACCAAAAATCTTAATATTAAAACAGAAACATTAAATCTGCTGGAAGAAAGTAGGTAAAACTCTGAACTCATTAGTGTAGGCAGAGACTTTGTGAACAAAACCCCAGTTGCACAGGAACTGTCACAAAGAATCAACCACTGGGATCTCACCCTATTGAAAAACTTTTGCACAGCAAGAGAAACCACTAAGAGTAAAGAGACAACCCACAATGTGGGAGAAAATGTTTGCCAACTGTACCTCAGATACAAGGAACACTATTAAGAGCATATAAAGGATGCAAAGAAATCACTCCTCCCAGATTTAAAGACCCAATCCAGAAATGGGTGTCTGAGACGAATATACACTTCTCAGATGAAGAAATATAAGCAGCAAATAAATATGTGAAAAAATGTTCATTGTTACTGGTCACTTGAGAGACGCAAAGTAAACAACACTGAGATTCCATCTCATCCCAGAAAGAATGGCTGTCATCAAGAAATCAAGCAATAACAAATGCTGGAGGAGCTGTGGGGAAAAAGGAACCCTTGTCCACTGTTGGTGGGATTGTTCCCACTGGTGCAACCACTGTGGGAGTCAGTGTGGACATTCCTCAAAAAACTTAAAACTAGATGTCCCATTCAACCTACCTATTCTCCTGTGTATCTTCCCAAAAGAAAAGCATCATGCCACAGTGATATATGTGCACCCATGTTTATAGCAGCACAATTCATAATAGCCAGATCTTGGAAACAACCTAAATGCCCATTGACTGAGGAATGGATAAAAAAGATGTGGTATTTTTATACAATGGAGTACTACTCGGCCATAAAAAAGGATAAATTGGAGACTTACAAGTAAATGGATGCAACTTGAGACCATACTCAGTGAAATAAATAAGATACACATGTGTAAACAAGGTATTGTCTCAGTGTGAGAAAGCAAAAGAAATGTGAATGTGTATGTATACATACATAAAAAATAGTTAAAATAGTCAAACAACTGATTGCTCTGAGTTCACTGAAGAGAAGGATGTGTGATGATTATTGTTCAGATAATTGAATGCAGATGTCTTATGCTCTGGATGGATGATTTGGAAATGATAGTGTGCAGTGTATGTATTATTATTGCCCCTGATAATTTTGTTTGAGGGTTTTTTTCCTTCTTTCTTTTTCTCCATGAAATAATATGGACTTGGAAAAAAAGAAAAAACAAAGTGAGTTCTAGACCAATCTGAATTGCATAGTGAACCCCATCTCAAAAAGCCAAACAAACAAACAAACCCTCTGACAACAATTTTTTTTATTAAGGATCATGTTTTCAATGCTAGGGATGGAAACTGAACATAGGACCTCTTGCATTCTGAAGCATTCACCCTACCACTAAGTGCTATAACCCTCAAAACAGTTTTTTAAAATTAGATGTATTAATAAAAAGTGAAGTTAATCTGGTACCAGGCATGATGGAGAATGAGGTAGGAGGACTGCAAGTTCAAGCCCAGTCGGGACAATTTAGTGACTTAGAACCTTTCTCAAAATAAAAAAAAAAATGTTTTTGAAAACGGCTATAGCTGGTGTGAAGGCCTTACGTTCAGTTCCTCACAGTGGGAGGAAAATGACAAAAATATTCCCTGGTTAGAGTGAAATAGTAAGCAATATTTGACACTCCTGGAATTTTACTTTACACAGTCATCAGTACTTATGCCATTCAGAGGCAGGCTGGTGTTCAGCATGGACACTCTTTTTGGAGTGGGGAGTTCAGGGAATCAAACTCAGGGCCTCAAGCAGACACTGCCACTGAGCTACATCCACCACCCATAGCATGTAGACTTTGTAGCATTCAAACTTGAAGAAACCTACTATATCTCCACTGAGTAGAAAATGGGTTTTATGGGTGTTTTTTTTGAAAGCATTTTTTTCAAATTTAATTTTCTGATTTCAGAATGGAGGAAAAATTATTGTCCCTGATAAAACTTCTCTAGAGTTGCTCTGCCAAGGATGTTCTGGTGATATCAGAAGTGCAATAAACAGCCTCCAGTTTTCTTCTTCAAAAGGTAATGGTAGAAGCAGCATTCAGAGCATTCTAGAGATGGCTGACTTCCCTCATTATTCATGAAGCAAAATCAAACCAGGTGTGTGCATATGTGTAAGTACGCACATGTGCACATAATGCTCAAAATAGAGCCCCAGGGCCTTGTGCATGCTAAGCAAGTTTCCTATCACTAAGCTAAGCTTCTAGCCCAAAATAAACTTTTTTTTGTTTTGTTTTTTTGAGACAGGGTCTCACTATGCAGTTCAGGCTGGCCTTGAGCTCACTTTGTAGCCCAGGCTGGTCTCGAACTCACAATGATCCTCCTGCCTCAGCCTCCTGAGTGATTTGATTTTCTCTAATTTCAAGCATCTGTATCCACTGGGGGTCTTGGAATGTGCCCACAGTGCACATGGAGGGACTACTGTACAGATGTACACTTTTTTATTGAGACATTGGCTTAAAATCATGTACGTGTAAATGAATATACCAACCTCTATGAATATGTCATCGTTTATATCCTCATATCTGTTTGAGACAAAACTTGAGTCATTTGCATGGCTGCTTTACCTTTCCAAATTATTTGGGATCAGATGTACCAGAGAACATCTAGATAGACCACTGCAAGTGACCCATCTTTTTGTGCCTCTTTTTTCTCAGCAATTCTGTGAGAACCTCTCACAAGGCTGTGCGATAAACAAGCAAAATAATGCTTATGGATACTTATTATAGTGCTTGACAGTGTTTGAATTAAGGGCTCAAAAAGCTGCCAGCGGTTAGGTTAATGATACTGTGCTGAGGTGTGCTTGCTTGTGAACTTTTTCATAGTTTCTGTGTTTAGCAAATATATTGCCCCTGTTGGGGATTTAGCTCATCGGCATAAGCGCCTGTCTGGTAAGCGTGAGGTCATGAGTTCAATGCCTGATACCAAAACAAAACAAAAACAAATATATTGCCCCAATAATATGTTAAAAGGGTAAATCATTGTGGTATAGGAAGGTTGTTCCACTAATGGCAGTGAGTTACACTGTTATTCTGAGAGTATTCCTGACTGCATTCCTGATTGGGAAGCATTTAGCCAGCTCCTAACTAGAAGCTACTAACCTTGAGGAATTCATTTTAAAGAAAAGCCATCTGTGGAGCTTTCAGAATTCGTCTGAAATGCTTACATTCCTGCCTACAGGCATAAACTGTTTGTTTAGTTTCTGCTTTTCTTTTCCAAAATAGCCATAGAGAACTAGGCATCTTAGAACTAAAGCCAGAATCCAACTTATTCTTGTGAAAGCATAAATGCAACTGTTCTTAGGTTTAGTACTGGAATTATGAATTTAAAAGGCTGAAGTAAGCCAGGTTGATGTTTTTGTTTTTGTTTTTGTTTTGTGTTTGAGACAGTCTTGCTGTGTAGTCTCGGCTAGCCTATGTCCTTGAACTTACTGTGTGGCCCAGGCTGGCCTCGAATTTACGGTGACCCTCCTGCCTCAGCCTCCCAAGTGCTGACATTACAGGCATGTACCACAATGCCCAACAGTGAGTCAGGTTGGCATTCTGTAACTGTAACACTATTGCTCTGTGCTTAGAAACCTTAAAGAGGAGAAAGTAATTTCTGAGTGGGCCAGGATTTGTGTTAGCAATTGAGTTTTTTTCATTTAATTCTCTCATCCTACAGACTATATTATGATTGGATCTAGCTCCTATATTATTTTTGCTACTCAAGACCACTTTAACTTTTTATTTTATTTTATTTTATTTATTTTTTATTTTTTTGTTTTTCTCCTTTTTATCGGTACCGGGGATCGAACTCACGACTGCCTGCTTGCAAGGCAGGCTCTTATGCCACTGAGCTAAATCCGCAGCCCCGACTACTTTAACTTTTAAGGCACACATTCTGAGTTTTAAACAGAAAAGTTACAAATGAAACCTGAACATAGGCCTAAATTGGAAATTGTTGAAATCAGTGGAAAGATAAGAGTTGTTAAGTATAGATTGCAAAATCAGATTGCCTAGGTGATTAAAATTGCTTCCTTGGGGATTTAGCTCAGCAGCACAAGTACCTGCCTGGGAAGCACGAGTTTGTGAGTTGAATCCCAGGTAACCCCCCCACCCCAAATTGCTTCCTTGTTGATAACCTTGGCCCAGTTACTTAAATTCTTTGTATTTCAGTTCTTTAATAATTGTGCCCCCTCGTATTATTGTTATGAGAGTTAAATTAGTTAATATGTATCATGGACTAAGAATAATATCACTGAGAAACCAAGGTGATATGACTTACTAGTGTGTCATTTTGTATGCGAAAATTTGCAATAGGTATCGTGAGATTGGGGCCAGGGATTTACCTCAGTGGCTGAAGTACCTGCCTGGTATCATGAGATTATCTTTGTTTCTGGTTGTTTTCCTTTGTCTTAGGGGTTATAAGTAATCTTAAAACACATTTTATTCCATTTCAGTAGCTAGCAGCCCAAAGAAGACCCTGACTCAGTTTACAGATTTTATAATTGTTGTTAATGTATTTTAATTAGTATATTTAGTATAACTATCTGAAGTCTTCCTTTTTTGTTTTTATGTTTTGATTTTATTTTAAACATTATCACTTTGGTGTATTTAGGAGAGAGCAGCTTATGGCCAAGAAAAAAAGGAATGTCCTTAAAATCAGATGCTGCACTGTCAAAATCGAAGCGGAGGAAAAAACCTGATACAGTTTTCGAAAATCAAGAGTTCCAAGCTGTTGGTGGCAAAGATGTTTCTCTTTTTCTCTTCAGAGCTTTGGGGAAAATTCTATATTGTAAAAGTAAGAGAATCTTTACATATTTTTGATATCTGTTGGATATTAGTCTTATAATAAAAATAAAATTTCACATTTTTAAAATGCCATATTTACCATATTGTTTCTCTGGTTTGAGAAAATGAAATTATAAATGAGGACCAAAATGTGTAATAGGTATTGTGAAATAGGAGGAAAGTGTTTCAGTGGGGAGGAGAATAAGAAAAAAGGAAGGGGAAAGAAAGAAGGAAAAAGCTTTTAAAAAATGAAAAAAAGAAAAATGTGGAAGCAAAGCTTTATAAATATGAAAATGGGGAGGGGAAGAGAGGCTGAAGAGTAATGGCATGGGGAAAAAACCAGTATATCATGTACAGGTACAAATTCTCTGTAATGAATGTGATCATTATGTATATCTAAAATGTACCAATAAAGTCTAATTTAAAAGGGGGGGGGGCAGAGGTATAGCTCAGCTAAACAAGTGCCTGCCTGGCAAGTGGCAAGTGCAAGGTTCTGAGTTTGATTTCTGGTAACAAAACAGCTAAAATGTTATATTCAGAGTCCACCAAAAAAATGTGTGTACACTTTAGCAGTTCGCCATACGAATAAATGTCTGGAAGCTACTGGACACCATTTTGAGCACCTCTTATAATTGTAGAGTCCAGAGGTAACTCATGTTAATCTCATGTCTCAATAAATTTAGTTTTAAAATATTTATACAAGTTTTTATTTTCCTGATGTATACATTTTTTTTTGTGTATGGACTCTTAAGAAAAAGAGTAAAGGTTAGGTTATATACTATTGGGCAAGGCCTAAACCAGCAGAAAAATGTATTTAGCTATTGGAGCACCCTATAAGCAAGAGTAACTGTAACAACAAACTACTGCAGGACATACCCATTCCTGTAAATTATGAAAATTATAGTGCACTAAAGGTAACAAACACATCCATCTCTCTAGACTTTTGATAGCTTGAACTTTCTGTTACCACTAGGCTCCAGCCCTGGGGCCATATGTAAAGTGCCAAGTCCTCAACTCTTTCTTTTAATTCTCTCTAGTTTTTCTATACTCCTTGCCAATTGCTGCTCCACCATCAGAGATGTTCATTGCCCTCTCTTTCTCCTCTAATGCCTGCTTTTCCTTGGACCCTTTATTCCTGGTGCCCATTCCTAACATTCCGAGTTATCCCTTCTGTGACTAAAAACCCCAACCCCCCAGTTCTTTATGTAGCATGTCCCAGTTGATACTCTTAAGATCCTGAAGGAAGAATTTGGAATTCCTGCATGGAAACCTTTCTGTCACATAGGAAAATGAAATAGCTGTCTCTTAGTGTCATGATGAGCTCCGTGGATTCACTCTCCTCTGAACTTTGGGGGCCCTTCTCACCTGATTGTCTTCCATCACTCTTTTTCTCCTCTACAGTGCACTTATAAGCCTTCATGTTAGGGAATGAGGGTACCTGCTCTCCCAGGTGGAGAATAGCATCTTCCTTTATAGGAAATTAGCCAGGAAAAGTTTCTGTATTGGGATGAATCTGAGGGAAAAAAAGCAACCTAGATTAAGAGGAGAAATGGGCTGTGCTCTCGGAAATGGAATGTTTTAGGTCTAAAAAAGCCATAATCCAAGCTTCAGAATTTTCAGGTTATTGTTATAGTAGTAACAAAAAGGTGAGCATCTAGAAAATTTTGTTGCTTTGTTTTTAATTAATTGTTTAGTATCTTGGCATTATGTGTCTGAAGTATTGAAAATGTTCAAATGAAAATATAATTACAAGGATTACACTACCTTTAATAATTCTAGAAATTAGGACCGGCTATTTAGCTCAGCGGCAAAAGTGCCTGCCTGGCAAGTGCGAGGTCGTGAGTTCAATCCCCAATACCAGAAAAAATAATAGTAATTCTAGAAATTTTTTATAGGAGCACCTTTAACAGAATTGGACTCTCCTCGGTTGCCCTCCCATTTATCAGAGTATGAACGGGATACATTACTTATTCAGCCCGAGGTAAGGTCTCTCTGACTACATACCAGGCATACCTGACCACAGCATTTTGACCAAATTATTTATGTTTATGCTTCTTTTTCTAGGAAGTAGTAGAAATGTCACATATACCAGGAGAGTTATTTAATTTATATCTTCACCAAAACTACATAGATTTCTTCATGGAAGTAGATGATCTTGTGAGAGCCAGTGAATTTCTCAGTTTTGCAGATATCCTCAATGGTGACTGGAATGTAAGACCTTTTGACTTACTTATTTCCTCAGAATTAAGAAAGTTTGCTTTTTATCTCTTAATTCTTGGACATTGTTTTGTGACAGCTCTTAATTACTCTGCTTAAACATCCAAGCCAGCATTTGTAGTGAAGCTTAGTAGGTTACTTGAGTTTTCTTGTGATAATACCACTTTTTCTAGTTATTTTTTTAATTTTAAAATTTATATTTACATAGAAAAATTTAAAACTTGAAAATTAGTTAGAAGACCTAAGAACTACGTATCTTGCTATACTTTCTGCTGCTTTAAAAGAATTTTTTTTTAAATTTATATAGATGAGGGAATAGCTCAGTGGTGAAGTACGTGCTTAGTAGGCATAAGGCTCTGGGTTTATTTGCCAGTACCAATGCTTTGTTTGTTTGTTTGTTTGTTTTGGTACCAGGGATTGAACTCACAACCTTGCACTTGCCAGGCAGGCGCTTGTGCCACTGAGCTATATCCCCAGCTAGCACCAATGTTTTTGAGACTCGGTCTCACTTTATGTTGCCCAGGCTTACTCCTGAACTCCTGCGTAGCGAGACCTGTGCCATCCCAGCCATTGTCCTTCACACCTTCACACTACTGTGCCCACTAACTACATGTAGTCATTTAAATTTAAGTTTAATTCAAATTAAAAGTTGTTACATTTACATGTAACAAAAGTTGTTACAAGTTACATTTTGTAGTACCTGAGAGTTACATTTAGCTAGTAACTGCTGTATTGAACAACCCAGCTATAAAAATGTTTCCATCATTGTAGGAAGTTCTATTAGACACTTTTAATATGTTACTATATCTGTATTACAAATATCTGTATTACAAATACAAGTTATATAACAATTGAGGATCAGTTTATTAAAACAGTTGCTTTAGGCATCTGTGATGGTGACTTCAACCTCCTCTCCAGGCTCAATGCTGATGGAAGTAATCTGCTTCACAATCTCAGCACTGTGCAAATCAATGAGTCGCTTGTGGATTCTCACCTGGAAGCGATCCCATGTTTTAGAACCTTTACCACAAAGCGTTTTTCTTGTAGTGATTCTCAAGGTCTTAGTCGGCATGGAAACAGGTCCTTTCACTTTGAGATTCTTTTCCTTTGCACCTCTGGTCAAGTTAGCACACACCTTTTCCAGTGACTTCACATTGTGGCTGATTTAATCCTAATTCGGTGAATTGCCACCTTTGGCTCCACAGGTGTTTTTCCAGTATCTTTAAGTGCCATGGCGTCGACCGGGCTTCCGGACTGTCTTGTTCCTCGGAAAGAGTGAACAGCAGTGAGTCAGAAGTAGGGGCATATGCTACCAAGATGTGCTGTACCCACTACCACATCTTACTTGGAAAGAAAGTCAAATACAAGTATTGAAAGAACAATTAAAATTAGGAAAGTTACAAAAAAACTATCATAGTGTCATTGCTTAGTAGTTTTATTTACCTAATTTGTTTTCTGTAATTTTAAAAAACTTTTTGTCAGGTATGATAGTGCACACCTATAATCCCAGCTGCTTGGGAAGCTGAGGTAGAAAAATGGCAACTTCAGGACCAACCTGGGCAACTTAGCAAGACCTCATCTCAAAATATAAAATGAAAAAGGGTGGGGTTGTAGCTCAGTACAAAGGTTTTGCATTCATTCTCCAGTACCAAAAAAATTGTGTTTTCTTATGATTGCTATATAGTATTTATATGTTTATAAGGTGTATAGGGTGATGTTTTCATTGTATGCTTGGTATTGATTACCTCAAGGTAATTGGTATATTCATCACCTTAAATTTTTGCATGTCTTTTATCCTCATATAATTGCTTATTTAATTTTGGTACCAGGGATCAAACTCACAAACTCGCACTTGGTATTTTGAAAATTTTAATCTATAGATAAATTGAAAGAATAGTTCATTGAAAATCTATATATGCTTTTGTTCACTAGATTATTATATTTTTCCATGTTTGCTTAATCTCTATATGTATGTACATACTTGTTTTGGACAAATGGTATGACTCGTAATACTTGAGCACAAGCCAGAGATTTAGCTCAGTGGCATAAGTACTTGTCTGGCAAGCATAAGGTTGTGAGTCTGAGCCCCAGTACCCAAAAGAATAATAATAATAATAATACTCGAGCATGAATAAAAATATTTTTCTATTACAGCCATTGTAGCATTCTCACACCCAAGAAAGTTCACAGTAATTTAGTAATATATTGTCCCTTCAAGTTTCCCTAATTACCTCAAAAATGTATTTAAAGCTGTTTCTCTCAGCTCTATCCAAGACCTAGTCAGGGTTCACCTATTGCATTGGCTTTGTCTGAATTGAATTTGCTTTAAATAGTTTTATAGCACTCTGGTTGTTACGACTATGGTGACAATGGAAAAAGTGAAGATAGAACAACTAAATATGGTTAGCCTTTTTGTATGTGTCAACAGTACCAATAAACACTGCTTAAAAATGGTATACTTTCTTCATTCTGCCTCTTCTCCCTTGTTAGACGCGCTCTTCACTCAGGGACTATGGCACATCTGTTGCTACACGAGGTGTGATCCATTCCAACAGAGCCCGGGGATTCGCTCACTGTCAAGCTGGGGGATCAAGCTTTCGACCATTGCACAAGCCCCAGTGGTTTCTAATACATAAGAAGGTAAAAAATGAACTGTAGACTTTGCATAGGTGAACCCTGTGAATTCTGTTCTGATAAGGCAAGGGTTAAGTTCCAGGTAAATGTTTTATTCTTATGAAATAGTTGCTAATGGCTATAGTTTTCTTAGAATTATGATAAAACATAAAAAGGATGATTTTCTTAATTGTTTACTTTTAAAGGTAAACACAGAATTTGAGTGTACGCGTGTTTCATTTGTTAGTTGAATTTTATTAGAATCAAAGCATAGTTATTTTAAATTTTAATTATAGTTAAAAAGCTCTGGCCGAGTGTGGTGGTGCATGTCTGTAATTCCAGCCCTAGGGAGGCTGAGGCAGGAGGATCACCATAAGTTCAAGGCCAGACAGGGCTACATAGTGAGTGCAAGGCCAACCTGAACTACATAGCAAGACCCTGTCTCAAAAAACCAAAATAAATAGATAAATACTCTAGCCAGGCATGGTGGTACATACCTATAATTTCAGCACTTGGGAGTCTGAGGCAGGAGGATTGCCTTGAGACCAGCCTGGGCTACATAATGAGTTTAAGACCAAGCCTGTACTACACAGCAAGACCCCCCCAAAAAAGAAAGAAATCTCAAGGATACAAATTTCAGGTAGGAAGAATGAATTTGAAATCTGTAATACTACATGCTAATCATAACACTTAATACACTATACAGCCCTTACAAAAAACATATAACATGTTCTCAGAACTGCATTGCTTGGTGGCTTGTGGTTGTGTAAACACTGTAGAATGGTTTTTGTTTTTGGAGTGTTTTTCGTTTTCTGGGGTTTTTTGTTTGTTTGTTTGTTTTGTTTTTTTTCTGGAGACAGTCTCTCACTTTGTTTCCCAGGCTGGCTTCAAACTTGTGATCCTTCTGCCTCAGCCTCCCAAGTGCTGGGATTACAGGCCTATGTTACCAAACCCAGCTCATAGAATATTCAGATGTAATTTATACAGGTCAGTCACCTAATGTAGTCTCTTAAGCAAATCAAGAAGGTATTAAATATGAAATCTGTGAGACTGCTGCTGGTGTGACATGATATTATTAATTAATCCTAGGAAGATTATAAAAGACAAGTTAGGTAAACTCTTAGGAGTATATTTGTGGCATATAAGCCCACTTATTTTGTGATGTAATAAGTTTAGTTTAATTTGGAATACATAATCATAGTTTTGTTTTATTTGCCTTTCATCTTTTTTTCTTTTCCATGTAGTATCGGGAAAATTGCCTGGCAGCAAAAGCACTTTTTTCTGACTTCTGCCTACCCGCTTTGTGCCTCCAGACTCAACTGTTACCATATCTCACGCTGCTAACCATCCCAATGAGAAATCAAGGTAATCCCAGGTTTCCTCTTCCCAAAAAGTAGTGTTTTATCCAATATGTTTTTATGAGTCAGCTTGTGACTGTATACCTTCTTTTCTTTTGGAGACAGAGTCTCACTGTGCAGTTCGGGCTGGCCTTGAACTCACTTTGTAGCCCAGGCTGGCCTTAAACTCACAGCAGTCCTCCTGTCTCAGCCTCCCGAATGCTGGGATTACAGCCTGCACCACCACACTCAGCTCTATAATTATATACTAATAACTTTACTTTATTTTATGACCCAAAATTAATGCATACTTTTTATTAATAAATAAATGACAATAGAAGTATATAAAGCAGAATTAAAAGGACCTCCTCTTCAATTGCAGGGCATCTTTGACAGGGGAGAGAAATTGTTCTCATCTCTTCTTTGCACATAGAAATAGACCAATAAGATAAGCTTTTGTTTACTTCTGTCACTTCCATGTGGATAAACTTCCATGCTGCCTTAATCAGTGTCAAAGCAGAAATACTAAAATGTGTTCAAATCTAATGTATTTTTTCAAAACCTGTAGTTTCATTTTACGTCATTGACGAATCTTTTGTCTGATTTCTATATTACAGTTGGTGCCATTAGTAGTATATATGTGCACTAAACTTCATCTGGTAACATTATAAATAATGCTGCAGGCAAGGTCAGTGTCCATATGGCTGGGTTCTCATGGAGAAGTGCTATTTCTTCCTCTGAGATTTGCCTTTTGATGAAGGTTACCAGTTTTCATTATCAGTTGTTTCTCTTTTGTCTGTCTTGTTTTGTTTTTGTTAGCAGTGCTGGAATCTGAACCCAGGGATGCCAAGCTACTTCCCCAGCCCTTTTTATTTTATTTTGAGATAGGGTGATGGTTAATTCGAACTCATCATCCTTCTGCCTCAGCCTTCCAAGTAGCTTGAACTACAGAGATGTGTTCCACACCCAGCTCTGAAGTTGTAAAGATAGAGTTTACCTTTTAAGTTGTCAGAAAAGAGCTTTAGAGTGGTAATTGTCAACTTTGACACAATGAACAACTTCTTTTTACACCTTTGGTGAGTGTTGATACTTCGGTTTTTTGTTGTTTTTATTTTTGTTTTTTGGTTTTTTTGATACCAAGGATCAAACTCATGACCTTGCACTTGCCAGGCAGGCACTTATGCTGCTGAGCTAAATCCCCAGCCCTGTTGTTCTTGTTTTGTACTGGAGGTTGAACCAGAGCATTTGCACTCAACTATGTCCCCATTGTTTTTTTATTTTGAAATAGATTCTCACTGTCACTAAATTACCTAGGCTAGACTTAAACTTACATTCCTCCTGTCTCAGCTTTGCCATCTGCTGAGGTTAGAGGTATGTGTAATCATATCTGGCTTGATACTTAACCCTTTTTATTTGTTTGTTTTTAGAGAGAGGGTCTTACTGTGTACCTCAGGCTGTCCTTAAACTCACAGCAGTCTTTTTGCCTTCGCTTTCCATACTGGGAGATTAAGGGCATGCACCACTATGCCCAGCACAGTTTTAAATATTATGTATTCATAGATGAAAGTGGGATAACTTTGACCAATAAATGTGATCAATCTGTAGTTTTGGATCTAAAAATTAACATTACTTAGTTTTTTAACTTTATTATTTTGAAATAATCTTACCTTTAAAAATGCAGTAATAGTATAAAAGAATTACACTATTCTTGTACCAGTTCCTCAGGACTTCTTAGTGTTAAATTTTTATTATATTTGGCTCATACATGATCTTTTTCTTTGTTGATACACACAAGCAAACATATTTATATGTGTTTTTTCCTAGCCATGTTAGAATCAATTGCAGATATAATGTCTTGGTACTTCCTGATTACGAGGACCTTCTCCTACTGAGCCATGGTAGCAAATCCAAGCCAAGAAATTCAGCTATAGGGCTGTTATTTAGTGTAGGGTCCTCTCTCAAGTTTTGCCAGTTGTCCTAATAATTTTTCTTATATGGTAAGAACTTGCTCTTTTTCTGGTTCTTGTCCAGAATCTACTGCAAGATCACAGGATGCATTTAGTCTGTGTCTCTTTAGTCTCTTTTGATCTGTAATAGTTCCTTGATCTTTCTTTCCCCATGATATTTTGGAAACAGCACATAAGAGAGATACTCACATACATTATCCCTTAATTTAGTGATTACTTTTTTTCTTTGCAATACTGGGGACTGAACCGAGGTCCTTTGCACTGAGTTAACTCTCTAGCCCTGTTATTTTTTATTTTGACACACTGTCTTAAGTTGATAGGCTATGCTTAAACTTGCACTCTCCAACTTCAGCCTGCCAGCATGCTGAGATTACAAAGCGTGCACCCCCACACTTAGTATGGTAGTTCCTCCTGAGTGGATTCAGGTAGTTCAACAGGAACACTGCAGAAATTATTCTCTTTTTCTCAGTGCATCTTATCAGGAGAGTGTGATGTTTATTTACCCCGTTATTGGTGAAGTTTACTTTTACCATTTGGTAAAATGGCATCTGGCAGGTCTTCCAGAGTAAATTTGTAACTATTTTGTGAGGAGATACTTTGAGACTATTTAAAGATCTTTCTTATTTAAATTTTACCTGTTAGTTACAGCTTCCACTGATGATTTCCTGAATCTCGTAATGATGGAAAAATGCAAATTTTTTAAAATGCCATCATTTCTTCATTTGTTTTATGAATTGCACTGTAAGGTATAGTTTTGCCTTCTCCTCTATGCACTGATGGAGTTTGGCAGGGAGGGTCTGAGACAGGATTTCACTATGTAGTTCAGGCTGGCCTTGAACTCATTATGTAACCCAGGCTGTCCTCAAATTCATGAGAGTCCTGCCTCAACCTCCCCAGTGCTGGAGTTTCAGGTATTGTACACCTGTCATTTCAGTACTCGGGAGGCTGAGATAGGAAGATCACTGCAAGTTTGAGGACAGCCTGGGCTACATAATGAGTTTAAGGCCATTCTAAACTGCACAGTGAAACTCTATCAAAAAAATCTTGCCAGAGGGCTAGGAATATATCTTACTGGCAGGGTAAGGGCTTGTTTAAGGCCTGAACTCTATTCCCAGTAACCCCGACCCCCACAAAATTGTAGAGTTTTCTCATCAATGCTATTTGAATTCTGCCTTAGGTTGCTTTTTTTTTTTTTTTTTTTTTGTCTTTTTCCTTTTTATTGGTACCGGGGATCGAACTCACGACTGCCTGCTTGCAAAGCAGGCGCTTATGCTACTGAGCTAAACCTCCAGCCCTAGGTTGCCTTTTTTAATGCATTAGTCTTTTTCAGTGAGTCAGATTTGATTCTGTGCTTTTTAAAATAAGCATCCTTATGCTAAGAACTTCCTTAATTACTGCTTTAAGCAATCTTCTAAGTACTAATACATTTGTATTTCCCAAGACTTACATAGGAGTCTGCATAGTCCATGGGGCACCATGCTAATTTTGTCATAAAGGTACATTATTGGGGGTATATAATACCCACGTTTATCTTTAGAAAATTTCTATTAATGAATTACTAATTTTAATTTTGAGCTTTATTATATTAAACAATGAATATTTAGGAAAAAATCAAAAAAGAAAGTAGTGATTCTTAATATTGTTTATAAAACATCAGAATTTTCAACATCAACTTTTTTGATGCACAAAGTCTAAAAAATAACAGAAATAAATTCCTGCTGTGAAAATACCACTAGAGCTCCACAAAAACATAATCTTTTCTTCAGTTATCACACCTAAAGCAGTCTACACATGTAAAAACAGCATGTTCCATACACACATGTTGCTTACCTGGCCTTTTTGTAGGACATGACATCTTGTTGGTCATGCTATTTTATCAAGAGGTTCTTATTATATTATATAACGTATAGTTAACAGAAACATAAGATATCAATAAAGTCTTAAATTCTTAGTACATATTACACATTTAGAATAAACATCAATTTTTTTCTTTTTTCATCTTTTGAGACAGGGTCTCACTATGCCGTTCAGGCTGGCCTTGAGTGCCCTTTGTAATCTAGGCTGGTCACAAACTCACAGTGGTCCTCCTGCCTCAGCCTCCCAAGTGCTGGCATGTACCACCATGCACAGCAACATTTTCATGTCAGCCATGTACTTGGTTCTAAAACCTAAAAGATATCAAAAAAAATTTCTATATGAACTACAATAAAATACCAATAGAACACTACAACAGAAATAGTCTTTGCTTCAATTGTCACACCCAAGGCAGTCTTCACACAATTTCATGTCAATGCACACATCTCACCCTGACAGCACAAGTGCTTAATTTTCCTTTCCTATGTGGCAGATTGTTCTTGTTATGTCTCTTTGTCTTCTTACTTTGTCAGGAACTTCCTGCTATATTATACAGTTTGTACTTAAGAGTAAAATAAGATATCAATAAAATATCAAATATATAATGAGTACTTAGAATAGACATCAGCATTTTCACATTAGTGAATTACTTGCTTACAAAATTTAAAAGATAACATCAGTGGGCCAAGGATTTAGCTCAGCAGCATAAGCACCCGCCTGGAAAGCATGAGATCATGAGTTTGATCCCTGGTACCAAAAAAAACTAAATAAAAATAACATCAGAAATAAAAACCTATGCAGACTATGATGTAAATACAAACAAAAATCTACCACAGAAACAATCTTTACTTAACTGTCACACCCAAGGCAGTCTTCACACATGACACCTGCATGTTCCATACACAAGTATCAGTTCACACTGATAGCACATGTTTTATTTTCCTGCCCTTTCCTGTAGGGCACAGTTGACATCTTTGTTTTCCTGTTACCATTATAGGGCTTTTGATGCTGCACCACCTGTTGTCCTGTCAGCTCACTAGTGTGTGCCACAATTTTTTTGCATAATTCCCTGGGTAGAAACATTTTTCCTCTGCTATAAATGATTTCTTACGAATTTTATCCTCAGTCTAAGAAAATTTCTCTATGACGTTTTTGCACTTGTTATTTTCTTTGTAAACCACCAAACTATACCACACATTTTTAAGAT